ATAGAGAATATCAGGGCTAAGATCTTGTGGGACTTTCAGAGCCAAAGAGATAAGCAGGCATTGGCCAAGCAACCAGACATCATGGTAGTAGACCATGGCAGATGGCAGTGATGATAGATGTAGTGGTGTGAAATGACAGCAACATCAAGGAGAAGAGGAAGCTGGAGAAGTACTAAGGCCTGAAGAAAAAATTAGAGAGGCTGTGGAAATTAAGGAAAAAGTCCTACCACCATTAGATGCTGTGGCTCCAACAGATCCCAGAAACAACATTAGATTTCTTTGTCTAAAAGAGTTAATACTAAGAGTGGTTAAGATACTATGCAGAACCCTCAAACTCTCAGGCTCTGGTAGAGGACCCAAGAATGCGGAAGGCACATATCAGTCATATGGGTGAGAAATTCCTTAAATTTGCAATTTAAGTGAATCCCTTTACAAACATATTTTGAAAATGATGTATGCGTATGAATATTTTTAGAAGAAACAATAAGATGATTCATTAAATGTTTATGTTGTTCCAGTGATCAAATCTTATAAATTAAAATTCCCTCTATTTCCTTGTGACACATCATATATTTCTGAGGCTTGGGTTGTATGTTCTTACAGCTACTTTATTATGTTTCATCAGATCTCTTGCCAAGTTATTCATCACCATTCTTTTCTACCTAGAAATATGTGGTTGATGAAAAAATAGTTACCAACCTGGATCATTTTGAAGGAGATTGCAGGCTTTTGGGAAGGCTAAAGCTGTCAAGAGGTATAATGGATGTATGTTAATTTCAATATTGGAGGCAATTTATGTCTCAGTAGCAATTGCTGAGAAAGACTATATACTATGTTACTTGAGGGCTTTCCAGTGTCATCTGGTTAAGGCACCGTAGAAGCACAAAGGGTTAGATTAGGATTCTCAGATTTTGTGGTGTCACAATCCCCTAAAATGATACATTAATTTGTTTGAACCTTCCTAATGAAAAAAAAAAAAGCTACTCCTGAGTAGTGCTGAGTGCTAGCTGACAGTTTGGTATTGGATGGATTCCTTATTCTTTTCTTTATTCCAGTGGTGGTTTGCTGCGGGTACAGCCCAGTACGGCTGTACCGGCAGCAGCCTGGAGCAGTAGAGAGCATACCGGTACGGTGGCTCGTTTGGCTCACCTGCCTGCCTGCGCTCTATAGCTGTATTTATGCCAAAAGGCACACTGCGCACACGTGTACAGTGTGCAGTGCCAGCACGAGCCCTAACAAGCAGCTGGTTTTTACAGGAGTGGTGGATTGCGCAGGCGTGCGCAGTGCACGTCTGGCACGTGCATGAACAGTCTGCGATCAGCCTACCGGTAGCGATGGTAAGAGCAACCCACCACTGCTTTATTCCCTTATATACTTAAAATGAGCCCTGCCAGAATTTGATTCCACTGCCAATTTGTCCAGAAAAGGAAGGGCTGAGTTCTTACATGGCTTTGGAAGTTGTGGATGGAGCTTTTGGGAATCAAAATCTGGGATGCAGGTCATCATACTTAACACTGGCTTTCATCCAACTAAATATCATTTTCAACCCCAAACAAAAGGTCTGACTTGGATCTCTGTTTTGGATTTTTTTTGAGCTTTGTCAATCAAAACAAAGGGAGATTTGTTAAATTAATTACTCTTATGTTTACAACTTCCTTTATTTGGTTGCATGGATAATATTTAACTATGTGGAGTATAGATTTATTTAATCCATTAAACCTTAAACCTATTTTCTCATTTGATGGAGCTGAGAAAATTTTTGAATTCTGGTGCCTTTCTGTTGAAATACTTTTTTTCGAAAATAAAACATTTACAAAGATAGAGCCATCCTTATCTATCTGTCCAAATTAGCGTGTGCTCTAATGGGTTACTATCTCTTTGTCCGGTTTACCCTTCCTGTGTTGGGCAAAATATTTACGTTCCAGAGGAAAAATATTTTCCTTGGTCCCCAGATAACTTGCTGTGGGCTGATTTCACTTACTTCATTCATGTTCAGTGGAGAAAATTTCTAAAATCTTTTGTTCTGAGAGAATTGAGAGTTGAGGGTAGATTGAAGAGATTAAAAAGAACTATTAACCCTTTGCTTTTGAGTGATGGAATGAAAGCGAGTGTAGTTTATAAGCCAAAATTTTATAATCTGACACATTGGGATTAGAAACCATGGCCATGACTCCTAAAAGCTGTAATTAGTTGTAATTTTTTAATATGGGAGAAAGGGAACTGATTACAAATATGATTGGAGGGTAATCATATTAGCTGCTTTGTATTTTAGTTCATGTAAGTAACATTAAACACAGTTATTGTCTTGGTTTCATCTTGAGTGGCACCTCATTTGGAAATGTTGGCATATGGTGTCAACTGCTTATTATAGAAGAGAATACTGCTTTAAAAACATAAACAAGCTGAAGATCTTCGTGATTAGTGCATACAAAGATATTTTTAAAATGTATGTCTTAACTTCCCCATTTTCAATTGTTTTTATAAAAAGTTGGTGGATTTTGAAATCTAATTTTTTTTGTGTGTGTGTGAAAATGAATGCAATAAGAATTGAGGATGTTTTTTAATTGCTTCTCTCTTTTGTTTAGAGTGAGTCATGACTTCATGTTGTGAGCTTGTAGATTCCAAGGCTGAGCTCACTGCTTTGCTAGAGCAATGGGAGAAAGATCATGGCAGTGGACAAGACATGGTTCCCATTCTTACCCGGTAGGTGTGATCAAGTATAATTATATGGAATATGTTGTGGAAATGACACCATTCAGAAGCAAATCTCAATAGGGCTTAGTCACAGGTAAACTTTTATATAATTTCATTTTTATATTCTGTTTACTAAGCTTGTGCACATCATTTGATAAGGCAGGTATCAATTTTCTGGTTATGCAAAAGTATCTTCTGAGCACGGAAATTTCATGGTCTGAAGACCTCAGGCAGTCTTGAAACAGCCCTACCAAATGATTTGCATATTATAGTCTAATACACAAGCTTTGAGCAGTGTGAAAGTAACAGAAAATAACAGAAAAGCAATGGACTGGTTTTCCTGCTCTTTACTTTTCCTGCTCCTAGTAACATTAGCTATCAACCTCCCCTGTCCAAGATTTGGCAGCAAATACCAGATTTTTTACACTTCATAGCTAAAATTATTTCTTTGATTATACAGCAGAAGACTCAGACTCAGCTTGTTTGAGTGACAAATTGTGTCAGAAACAAGAATAAAACCATACTCATGAGTTGATTACCCACAGCAGTTAGAAGATGTAAATTCTCTTATAGCCTTAGGATTTAAATGAGTGACTTCTTCCTTCCACTTTTTCAAATTAATGAAGATGTAGGATAGTATTTGGAAATTGTGAAGTTGTACGTTTATTGTATGTTTACATGATGGCTGTCTTTGGCTTGAGAATTGCCTCAAAGCCTCACATTTCCTACCTTATCACTTCCATAAGTAGCAAAGATGACATTATTAAACTTTCAACAATATGGAGAAATTATGTAGATCATGGACATTTCAAGCATGTTTTTAGATGGATGAATTAATTAGAGAGCATAGTGTTTGCCTCTTTTTGCTGAAATGTTGTTAAACATAGATAGTGATCATAAAGGTAGATGTCACTTGACTATCTTAGCTTACAATAGCAGTTGTGGCACTCCCAGTTACCATTGTTAGGTGAATCCTGCACATATGCAATTTCCTGCAGTCACATGATTGCCCTTTAGGACCTATTGACTTCCCCATTGACTCTGCTTGTCAGAAGATGGAAGTGGAAGTCTCAAATTGCAGTTATGTGACTGCAATGCACTGCAACTGTAATAATTAATTAATGAAATTTGTATGCAACCCATCTCACCATCAAGCAACTCTGTGCCATTGCCAAGAGCTCAAATCATGTAACTGTGAGCCATTGCCAAGAGCTCAAATCATGTAATCATGCAAATGTTGCAGTGTCCATAAGTACAAGTACATCCCTGTTCAGCACCATTGTAACTTCAAATGGTCATTTCAACAAGGACTGCCTGTAATGTTTTGATCTTATGTAGTCCAATTAAAATCTTGGTTAATCATGGTTTTCTAATTTTAACAATTGAAATGTTAAAGAGAAATACAAATTGGTTGTGTTTTTTTCTGCTTCTAGAATGTCAGAATTGATTGAAAAGGAAACAGAAGAGTATCGCAAACGAGATCCAGATCCATTTGATGATAGGCATCCCGGTAAACTGAGAAGAAAGAATTTATCTGTCTTTATACATCACCTTAAACCATATTTTTTCTATCAGAATTCTACCAAGGAGCAAAGTATCACAGTGCTTCTCTTTTGTATCTCTCTGAATTAACTAGAGAATTGGTAGAGGTTTTTTTTTAAATTAAAAAATGGGGCTAAGAAAGAAAACCATAAATAAACACCAGGCACATTTCATATGTTTTCAACCACAGTTGCAGAGATTAAGACAAAAAATATGTAAAATTATGGCTTACTACCTTTAAACAATCCATATAAATTAACTGATATTACTTGGAACCACATTAAGACATCAAGACATGATTCATACAGATAGTGCTCAACTTACAACCACAATTAAGACTAAAATATTTATTATTAAGGTGCGGTTATTAAGCAAGGCATTACATGACCACACTTGATTTTATAACCTTTGTTTTTGCTGTAGTCTTTAAGTGAATCACTGTTAATTAAGCAAGACATCTTATAATTTGTGACCTCTCCTGCCAGCTTCCCCATTGACTTTGATACTCGCAGGGGAAGGTAGCCCCTCAAATAATCTGGTCTCATTGTAGGTGATTTCATTAAATCAACATAATAATTATGTTAACAACAGCCTGCAACTAAATTGCTTTTTGGAGTTTCTGTAATTCTTGCTTCTTAAAATATTCCAGAGACATATCTTTAAACAAATTAAAAATACATTGTAACTTACTTTAAATGTTATATGGGAGGCCTGGAACAAAAAAAAATGTGAAAGACCTGTTTTTACCAAACAGATGGTTTTTCAATTAATATAAATGTTTTTCTATAATTTAAGATATAGACCGTGATTGTACAACTGTATTGTAATTTTTTCACCTACCCAAAAATAACTTGTTCTTATGTGTGTTATAAATATTGAATAACCAATATTTGTGGGAGTGGAGGTTCGTTCTTCAAACTTGTGGGTTGGTTTCCAAATGTTTCGTTACCAGGCTAGTTAACAGCTTCGGTGTAATTTAGGGGATGTCAATGTTGCTGTCCTTCTGCTTATGAGGGCTTTGTGTGGTCAGTAGGTCTGGTGATGGGAGAGTCATATCAAGTGAAGGTCTAGTGATGAGTAGTGAGGGGTTCGGAGAGTCATATCAAGTGAAGGTCTAGTGATGAGTAGTGAGGGGTTCATGTGTGGGTCACATCAGGTGAGGGTCATTGGGAGTTGAAGTGCTGATTGGAGTTGTTGGCTGGTTGAATGTTGGTGCTGTCGGTGTTTGGTTTTGCAGTTGATTTGAATTCTCAGGGGTTCGTAGGCTGGTTGTAGATCATTGTGTCTGTTGATGGAATTACTTGTGGAATGCCAGGCTTCAATAAAGTCACAATCCCTCACAAGACCCAGCATAAGAGCTTCACCTGATGTGACCTTCCTATCACAAGAGCTACTGATCACACAAACCCCTTATAAATAGAAGAACACTAACACTGACATTCCCTAAATTCCACTAAAGGTGTTACCTAGCCTGGTAACAAAACGTTTGGAAACCAACCCACAAACTCAGAGAATGAACCTCCATTCTCATCCTACACCCGAGCTACAGACTGGACTTTTCATTAAAATAAGCTACTTAAGAATTATTGGCCAACAGTTAAGATTAGACGGCTTGTTTATAGGTTTATAAAATTAAAATATAATTTTACATAAATTTGTCAATACAATTTTTTTTACTTAAATTCAGTGCCAATATTTCTCTTCCATTGATTTGTGGGTGGAAATTTTTGAATTGCCAAGATATTCAATTAATCATACTTAACTTCAGTTAGCTAATGTGTTGTTTTACATGTTTGTTTTGTTTTCTCTGCATTGTTTCTACTTAGGTTTGCTAGTGAGTGTGTGGTCTATTAATGGATACTGTTGCCTGTTTGTTTTACAGGTCGAGCAGACCCAAAATGTATGCTTGGACACTTGCTGAGGATTCTTTTCAAGAATGATGATTTCATGAATGCAGTGGGTTTGCCCTTTGAATTTATGTATAGATTTCTGCTTGGCAACTGGTAGCTTGTTACTTAATTTTTTTAGTCAAGATGCAAAAGGTGTGCTAACGGGTTCGTTTTGTTTTAGATTTGAAAGAGGAATGTAATTTCCAAAACTTTGTATAAAATTTGCCTAATTCCTATTTATTCAAATCATGATGCAAGCAGTATAAAACGAGTCTTTTCCTTATTAACTCTGTCTGTCTTATCTCTGTCTACCAAAGAGCCCTTTGCCTCCATTGTATTTTTCAGAAAATTACAAATTCAAGGTGGTTATTGAAATTGAAGTAGACTCCAGAAAAACTGAAAGAATTTATGTACAATGACAAATGGACTAAAGCTCTAATTTTGAACCGTATATTTTGCAAAAACTGATAAAGACTAATGTATTGAAGAATTCAAATGCCTGGATAGGTTGCTATACTTAAAGATGTAATATGTGCAGCAGAATCCTGTGCAGAAGTGGACAGAAGTGTGCACAGTTGAATTAAGTGTACTTAAATATTAAGTAAATGCTCTTAAAATTGCATTGTAATCTTATCTTTTCCTTCTATGTAATTTAAGGCTATCAAGACTTTTACAATGCTAATGGAGGAACCTAAACAATTCCATTTTTAAAAAAATGATAATAGTAATAAAGCATAATATAGATTTGAAAACTTTTTTTTCTGTGGGTGGTTTTTGGCTCGTGAAATAAAACTGATTTTTTCAAATTTAACTTTTCCCCAGCATATCTTGTCCTGAAACTATTGACTCCAGAGAGTCAGTGATCCTATTAATAAACATTGTAGGAGAAATTCAATTCAGATCCTTCCTTCCTTCCTTCCTTCCTTCCTTCCTTCCTTCCCTCCCTCCCTCCCTCCCTCCCTCACCCCTCCATCCCTCCCTTCTTCAAAATGCAGCCTCTGCTGGACTGGCATTTTTCCTTTAAATAGAAAGGCATTCAGATCTGACATGTAACTTTTTCTTTCTTTCAGAAATAACCCCCCAATTTTTCTTTTAGCTGGTAAATGCTTATGTCATGACAAGCAGAGAACCTCCACTGAACACAGCTGCCTGCCGACTCCTGTTGGACATTATGCCTGGGCTGGAAACTGCTGTTGTCTTTCAGGAGAAGGTATGGGAGATAGGAAGATAGACCTAGAAGCAACATGGTGCAGATCTTAGTAGACTTTGCTCTGACAGTTTTGGGAGGCTGGTAAGAATGAATTCCAGGTGGCTGAAAACATTGCTTCTGCCACAGTCAGGCAGTATATATACTACCAATTAATTGACTCCAGGTGATAGCTACCTTTATTTTGAAGGCTAAAATTCTGTTCATTTACATGGCCACCCTTCTTAAGTAATTCTGGGCAGCTTACAGCAACAATAAAACCAATATCTATAAAATAATCATAAAACTGTAAGAACAATAAAATCCTGTACCTTAAATATTCCCTTGGGATGCCCCACAACAAGCGTCAGTTGCCCTCATTCCATATATACTGTAGAGAGATATAAACTGCCCAGAGCCCCCTCCCTGAGAGGGAGTGTTAATAAATAAGCCAAATAAATAAATAATAAAATAGTTATCTTTTTTTCTTATTTATGTTCATATTTATAGACATTTAAATTCATACATATAAAATAGTTCAATATTTCTTATATTCTCCGAGACTTGATGTTTGCAGATGTCAAGGCAAATAGAAAGGTTTTTTTATTGAATGGTATTGATTTGCCAAGAGTTGCTAGGATTAGTGTTTCAGTTGCTTTTCAGCAGTTATGGAATGGCTGCAATCAGACACAATATGCTAAACATTCCTTTTTTTTTATTTGTTGGTTTTTATGAAGGGAGGAACAGGTAGGAATGAATGAGTTAGTGCAGTTGATATTATGACGAAGAATTTTTGGCTTTACCTGGCACCTGAATGCATTCAGTGGGCCTTCTGTGTGATCTGTGTGACCATACAGTCCCCGATACAGTTTGCAGTTAGTAGCCAGAATTGAATTATTTTTACACTGAGTTTCTGAATTACATGCCAACATGGAGAAGAACTATATAAAAGCTCCTATGTATTGCCAGAAATTTTTTCATGCTTGATGGCAACAACTTTGATGAAAAATTATGTTGTTGTCCAGTTTAAAAAGTGCTTGTCCTTAGTAGGAAATCTTACCATGTAAAAAAATCAAAGAAAATGCTTAAAAAAATCATTCAGGATGTGAACTTATTACTTTAAATGTTGATCGTATCAACAACTTCATCTGCTTTTTTAATCTGAAAAGTTTCTTTTTGGAACAAAGCCCAGTATAGAGTATGGGACTTATATGTGAGTAGATGTTGTATTGGAATGTAAGCTGTGAAAAAATTAACTTGCCTATATACACCTCTCTTGTCCTGTCCTTCCCACCCCCTAATTCTAGGAAGGCATTGTTGAGAATCTCTTCAAATGGGCACGAGAAGCTGATCAGCCTTTAAGGACATTCGCAACTGGATTGCTTGGAGGTGCCATGGAGAATCAAGATATTGCTGCCAACTATAGAGATGAAAATTCCCTATTGGTAAACAGGAAATATCCATAACATATTGTAGACAAGTATTGAACATTTAGCCCCTGGAGTATTATCACAATGAATGTAGAAAAACTGCAGCAATGGTTGCATGTTACTATTCTACAGCAAATTTTAGAAATGTTCTTCTTTGCAAGTGGAGAAAATAGATTCATATATCAGCATGTTTGGTTTTGCAAGATAACTTTTCCCTGACTCCAGTTTCCTGTCCTTCCTTACAGTATTAGAATAATAATATGCGACCTTAAGTTTGCAAAACTGGTGTATTTAAATATTGAACGTTTGAAATTAACACCGGGTTGTTGGTTTTTTTTGCTCCTCTTCTATGTGTTTCCTTTTTGGAAAGTGAAGGGCATAATAATAATAGCTTTGAGTTTCTTTGGGCAAACTGATTTTGGTGTAGCAGAACCGTGTTAAAATGATGCATGTTCAACTCTTTATGAAAGGTGGCATTTGTCCTTCAACGTTTGCGAGAACTGCAAGTCATTGAAACCAACACAAAGCATGAAAATAAGCGTCCTAGTCCTCGAAAAGTGCCATCCGACCCCTTGCTGCCTCTAGATGAAGAAGCTGTGGACATGGATTATGGGGAGATGGCTGTGGATGGTGAGCAGGAGGAAGTGACGGGGGACATGGATATTTCATTTAACCTTGACTCAAATCACAAGACAAGTAGTCGGGTAAATTCTGCTGCAAAAAAATCAGGGAAGCAACACGAAAAAGAGAATTTCCGAAAAGCAAAACAAAAACTCGGCTTCTCTTCTGAACCAGAAAGGATGTTTGTTGAACTGTCTAATAGCAGCTGGTCTGAGATGTCTCCTTGGGTGATTGGCACAAATTATAACCTGTATCCCTTGACCCCCGCCATAGAGCAAAGACTGATTCTGCAGTATCTGACTCCTCTAGGGGAGTATCAAGAGGTAGGTTTAAAAAAGCAGAAGGATACATGATAATTGCATTTCTTTTGGGAAGAAATTACACTTTATTATGGAGAATCATAATCTGTTACGTTCAAGGTATGTTCTTACGCAGAGGCATTCTGCAAAGAGCAAAAGATAATCTTTGGAACTGTCTTTCCAATTAATTGTGCTTTGTTATGTGCTTGCCTTACAACAGGATGTTAATATTTTGATCATATTATAATACCCCTTTATTATAAATAAAGATACCCATATTATGCAGATTTCTTTATTATAAAGAAAAATAAATCATATTATAAAGAATGCATGTGTTGGAAAGAAATACTGAAGTAATATACCAGAACAACATTCTTACTCCCCTTCCCTCCCAGCTACATATTTTAATCTAAAAATACATAAGAGGGAATGGTTAGCTGCATAGTAAGTGGCATCCTCTAGATTATGTAGCACAGGGGTGTCAAATTGGTGGCCCGTAGGCCGGATGCTTCACACACAGGCCACACCCACCCCAGCTCTAAAGGAAAAAAAACGTTGCGGCATGTCACGTTACATCAACCTGATGGGGTGAGTTTGACATCCGTGACATAGTAGAAATCTTGGTCAACCGTACTTTGCATCTGGCTTCTTGTAGATTTAGGAGAAAGAAAATATTTAAGATGACCTTCTTAAAGTATGTTGTACATTTCCTCCAACAGTTGCTGCCTATCTTCATGCAACTTGGATCAAGAGATTTGATGATGTTCTATATTGATTTGAAACGGACCAATGATGTACTGCTTACTTTTGAAGCCCTAAAGGTAAGCAATAGCATTATGAACTGTTTGTTCAGAAACACAAGAGGCCTTGTGGCCCAATATCAGTGTAATCTAATTGGATGCTTACTCTAGCCAAGTATTGCCATTGCTGTTTGGAAGGAAAATTATGGATACTGAGGTACTAGTCTGGAAGAAGTTGGACTGGTACTGACTGACAACTGGTATAGAAAGAGCATCAGCTCTGAATACTTACTTAATACTTACTTTCTGTTATTTTCCAGATCTATATTTTAAGAGCTATACAGTACTCCAGATTAAAGACAAAAGGTGTTTTAGTGATGTCAAAACTCACAGAGTTCTTATGCATATTATAAATTTTGAAATGTTGAACAGAAAGACTGGATATTCTAAACCTCCCCTCTCAGAACCTGCCTTGATCCTCTCACCTGCTCTTGCCTCCTAGTATGGCTTGTGGGTGTCAGAATCTGTTTTCTTGGGAACCTCTTACTTGGGATTTACCCCTAATCCTCTTGTGTGTTTAGGAGAAGTATTCTTTCACTCTGTAAACCTCTTTGCTATGCAGTATAGACTGCATGGTATCCAGAAGATTTGACTGTTCTTTTCTTTTTTCCTTGGTGTATAAATTCATTTCACTAACAAAGCAGCTTGCGAACTAATTTAAAAACAAATTGCTAACTGAACGTTTCTGATTTGCAATAGATCATGAGTCTTCTACTCAAAATATACAGATCACAATGAGTTAATAATCATTAAACTCATTATAAGTTAATACAGATACAGAACTCCGAAGAAAAAAATGTTCATACACATAGATACTGATTTTAAACTGAAAGCTCTTTCTGGAATTCTTGCTGATTTCAGTTCAGTCCATCTTGCTGAAGAGAATATTGTGAAATTTGTGCTTGGGAAAAGCATTTTAAATTTTGGTAGTTACCAGAAGACTGACATATACCGATCCTCCAAAAAAACCTGTATATTTAAATATGGACAATTATGTAATAATTATGGAATGCTTGGCGACAGAACATTACCTATATAAACTTTACCAAGGCATTTGAATTGGAATCTGTTCTTATTTCAATCACAGTTTTTCTTAAAGAGAGCAATGGAGTGAAATCTTATTCTTCTCCATTTTTCACAGGACACAAGAAAGAATATTTCATTTGTAGTGGAAAGCTTTGCTAGGTTAATTGTAATTTCCCTGTCTTGCCTTATAATTGACTGATTTTATGCATTTGTCTGCAGTATTTGGCATCTCTGCTGCTCCACAACAAGTTTGCAACGGAGTTTGTTGCTCACGGAGGAGTACAGAAGCTACTGGAGATTCCTCGCCCTTCTATGGCAGCCACAGGTGTCTCCATGTGTTTATACTATTTGTCTTACAATCAGGATGCCATGGAAAGGGTAAGAGCACATCCTGCCACCAGAGGCCATTCGCTTTGAAAAGGGCTTGCCTATTTCAAGTGGGGACTAGACTATTCCAGCTATCGTCACCTTTTGGGAAATCCAGCATAAATTTTGAGCGTACTTGTGTGATAGCTTATAACAGGATAATAGTTACTAGTAAACTGCTGAAGTTGAGAACAAGTCATCAATTAGAAACATATCTTTATTGAAAGGTGAGTTTTTTTGCTTGTATAGAGTATCCTGTTAATTTCAGCAGGGGAGACACATTATACATTTTTAAATTTGGCTTGAAAATGAATATTGCAGAGTCTCTGTACTCGAAGACAGCAATAATTAAGGCACACACTTATTCATGTAATATAACATGGATTTTATCCGACTCTATTACAGCAAGGTGTATCCACTAGTTCTAAAGAAAGGATTGCACAGCTTTTGATGTTTTTTTAATCAGAATTCTGTGGTGTGTTGTTTTGGTTTTGATTGTTGGTTTCAATTATTTATTTATCTTCCAAGCATAGATATCCTGTGTTCATGTTAACAACTTATTTTTTTTTTGTAGTAGTGTTTTGGAATTTGGATGTATTCTGTATTTGTATCATGAATGTTCATTTTTAACTTTGTTGAATTCAAGGGCTCCAAAAGATTGTAGGCTGTGTGTCATCCTTGTAATTAAAATTGAATAATAGATGCTATCCCTTTCATCACAGCACTTGCTGGTGGATTTGTCTACATATTGTTCCCATTACTAAAAGTACAAACGATCACAGTGTTTTCTTGTTCTGTAGGTATGCATGCATCCCCACGTGCTATCAGATGTTGTGAACTACACCTTGTGGTTGATGGAATGCTCTCACGCATCAGGCTGCTGCCATGCTACCATGTTCTTTTCTATTTGTTTCTCGTTCCGTGCAGTTTTAGAGCTGTTTGATAGGCATGATGGCTTACGGCGCCTAGTTAACTTGGTAAGTCTTAAAACTGTTGTATTTTGCTTTTCTTAAGTACTTCATCATAACTGCTGCCTCCTTTTTTTTGGATGGCAAAGTTGAGTGTCATTACAGGACTGGCCTTTCAGCTTGACTCTGCTTTGTGTTAAACAGAAACTTGAGGTTGTGTATAGTTTCTGAGAGTCTTGATTGAGGCTTTAAGAGCTCCTTCAAAAGTTTCCACCAAACAATAATAATCTATGTGCTGGAATCTCCATTTAGCCACCCTGTTCTCAAAGGCAAATGTGGCTTTCTGTCCAAAACCAACTTACATGTATTCCATTTAGATAGTTTATGTGATACTTTGGACAGTGAATATTCATACCTGCAAATGAGCACCTTATGGTTTTAGAAGGATTCCTTAGGTTGGTTATGCAAAAATTTGAACCAAATAACCAGCAAACTAAGAAGCAGGAGAGGTGGCTAAATGAACTTGCTAACTGATGTAACAATGAATCTTTAGATATTAAAAATAAAACTGTAGTAAGCCTGTTTTTTTCTTCTTCTTCATTTTAGATTAGCACTCTTGATATCTTAAATTTGCAAACCCAAGGTGCGCTGCTAAGTGACGATGAGATCTTTGCTAGCCGTCAGACTGGAAAACATACTTGCATGGCCATGCGCAGGTATTTTGAAGCACATCTTGCCATCAAAGTAGAGCAAGTGAAGCAGTCACTTCAACGCACGGAAGGTGGAATTCTGGTCCATCCACAGCCTCCATATAAGGTGGGCAGTAAATTGCTGGAAGTAATAAACCACTAGCTCTTGCCTTTTCTAGCGAACAAAGAGAGATATAAAAAAGTGTTTTCAACTACAGGTAATCCTCGACTTACGACCACAGTTGAGCCCAAATTTTTTGTTGCTAAGTGAAACATTTGTTAAATGAATTTTGCCCCATTTTATGATCTTTGTTGCCATAGTTGTGAAGTGAATCACTGCAGTTGATAAGTTAGTAACCCGGTTGTTAAGTGATTTGGCTTAACCATTGACTTTGCTTGTCAGAAGGTGACCAAAGGGGATCAAATGACCCTGGGACACGGCAACTGTCATAAATATGAGTCAGTTGCCAAGTGTCTGAATTTTGATCACGTGTCTATCAGGATGCTGCAATGGTCATATGTGTGAAAAGCGGTCTTAAGTCACTTTTCCAGTGCCGTTGTAAGTTTGAACGTTCACTAAATGAACTGCTGTAAATCAAGGACTATCTGTACATCTAATACAGCAACTGATATCACTTCTGGGAATACAAGGTCCTTACTGTGATTGTATTTGGCATCTCATAGACCAGGGGTCAGCAAACTTAAACACTCAAAGAGCCATTTGGATCCGTTTCCCACAGAAAAGAAAACACCGGGAGCCACAAAGGTCCTAACCGGAAGTCCCCTGTTCAATTCTGGAGCTGACCGGAAATTCAGTTCCCCCACGATAGAGTCTCCTCCTAGCGCGCCGTACTTTTTCCTCTACCTCTCATAATGGAAAGCCCTATCAATTGTGGAGACAACTGGAAAACCCTCCCCTTTCCATAGAGTCTTCTCCTGATACACTGTGCTTCTCCCCCCCCCCCCCCTGGAAACTCCTCTCAAAATTGTGGTGCCGACCGGTGATGGAGCCGCAGCAGAGGGAGGAAAGAGCCACATGCGGCTCCAGAGCCACAGTTTGCTGACCCCTGTCATAGGCCAATTTAGGGCACATTCTTTCTGGGGCTGCAATTTAACTACCACTTTTCAGCTGGCTGCGAGGATCCATTTCAATGCATAGGATCCTTGCCCTTTTTTACAGAATGTTACCTGTAAAATCTGTTGAATTTTTTCATTAATAATTTTGTTACTCCAAATTTTTCGCAAAAGACCACTAAACCTACATTCTTTACAATCTAATAAACGGAAGATTTTTTAAAAACATTGAATGCTCTTGGATTTGCAATTTAAAATAGTGGATCAGGTCATTGGGTTTTTAAATATATGCTCCTGTTTTTACTTTGCGCTTTTATAGATTTTAAATTGTGTAGTTAGTTTTTGAATAGTTTTTGATTTCCATAGTGAAAAGGTAGATTGGAGTTTTTTTTTAAAAAAAACTATTTTAAAGTGTTTGTCTTAATTTTTCCAGATAGGTGATGATAAGGCTATTAGAATGTTTGCTTCTACTTGCAGGCTTGTTCCTATACTCATGAGCAGATTGTGGAAATGATGGAGTTTTTAATAGAATATGGACCAGGTCAGCTCTATTGGGATCCAGCAGAGGTGTTTCTCAAGCTATGTTGTGTACAGCTCATGCTTCAGCTTATTTCAATAGCATGCAATTGGAAGACTTACTATGCAAGGTGAGAGAACAACAGGATATGAAATACCTTATAAGTTGAGATGGCAGTTGCTCCAGGACAACTATCTATATTTATTAATATTAACACAGTTTGTTTGTACCTGACAGATTTCTGGAGTTCCCCATAAAATTAATAAAAACAATATACTCTCTTGTTTTTGAAAAAGACTATCCCGTGAATTTATTCAGTTCACTTTTCCTTTAATAGGTTTCATAATGCTTTGAGTTATATGTATTTCATTTTCGTTTATCAGAAACGACACGGTGCGTTACGCGTTGGATGTTTTGGCCATCCTCACTGTGGTTCCAAAAATTCAGTTACAGTTAGCTGAGGCAGTGGATACCGTGGATGAGGGAGGAACATCTATTTCTATTGTGGGTAGGTGAAACCTCATCTCTCGGTGTGCTTTCTACGAATACCAGTGTCAATGTAAAACTTTTAAATTCTGAGCAAATGGACTATGACAAAGGATCCTCTTGACTGCATGGCTCTAGTTAGTACAAATGATTTCTTTTTTAACTGGATGGTTTCATCTGTCTGAACAGATTAACTCAGGTTGGGGGGCAGGGGGGCGGGGAGAGACATATGTAGGATGTTGCTGCTTTTGTCCAAATGATTAAAACAGTATTGCACCCTATGCTTCACTCCTTTTGTACATGTGCGACAACATGTATGAAGCACATTAAAAAAAGAATAGGGTTTGTATTATACATCACTGTTTTCATCAGCTTGTTCTCTGCCTCTCACTAAGGTGTATGGATAGATTTGAAAGGGAAACTAGAAGCAAAGACATCTGGTTCGTTATTGGCTCATTTTCTCTCACACACACCAGCTTTAGAATTTTCATTTCCAATTATTAGGTTGAATTATACCAGTGATGGCGAATGTTTTTCTGCTTGGGTGCCAAAAGGATGTGCAATCCCCTCCCCCCCCCCCCCGCGCGCATGTGCGCAGGCCTCACTGTGGACGTCCTGTTGGGCAGTTGGGAGGCTTTCCTGAAACCTGGGGAGGGAGAAAAATGGCCTCCCCCTGCCCTACGAAAGGCTGAAAATCAGCTGGCACATGCTGGAACTGACATAGGGCAACACCTCGCATGCCCTCAGATATGGTTCTGCATGCCACCTGTGGCACGCATGTCATAGGTTCGCCATTACGGAATTATACCCTCCTAATCATTGTGAGAGAATCTAGTGCTATAACATTAAGAATTATTTGAAAGAATGAGATGTTCAAGGGATTTTTAGAATGAAGCTGCCTTTAACACTCTTTTTTGACTGCTTTATTACTAATCCTTGTAGGAATTTCTTTATTTCATGGCAATGGGGTCTGTTGAGATGCAGGTGGGAAAAAATAAGGTTTAGTCTGTATTGTGTATTGCTCAACATTTTCACTAGATAAACACAGATTTGTGCAGCATTACATGAGTCAAAAGAGACATCACTCCTATAATATACAAGCAGAGCCATTGTTCTCTTACACTAATGTGTGATACATTTTACTTGCTAATGTTTCACTTAATTTTTTTTCTTTTTTCCAGGTATCAGCATCATTTTGGGGCTTGCCGAGGGTGAATTCTTTATTCACGATGCAGAAATCCAGAAATCTGCCCTTCAGATCATCATTAACTGTGTCTGCGGTCCAGACAATCGCATCTCCAGCATTGGCAAATTTATCTCTGGCACACCTCGTCGTGCACTCCCCCAAACACCCAGGAATAGTGAGCATACTTTGGCCAAGATGTGGAACGTGGTGCAGTCAAACAATGGCATCAAAGTGCTGTTATCCTTGCTCTCTGTCAAAATGCCCATTACAGATGCAGACCAGATCCGAGCATTGGCCTGCAAAGCTCTGGTTGGGTTGTCGCGAAGTAGTACAGTCCGGCAGATCATCAGCAAGCTGCCCCTGTTCAGCAGCTGTCAGATCCAGCAGCTAATGAAGGAGCCTGTGCTGCAGGATAAGCGCAGCGAGCATGTCAAGTTTTGCAAATACGCTGCGGAGCTGATAGAGCGTGTCTCAGGAAAACCCTTGTTGATTGGGACCGATGTCTCTCTGGCCCGACTACAGAAGGCAGATGTGGTGGCCCAGTCGAGGATTTCATTTCCTGAGAAGGAGCTGCTCCTTTTGATCAGGAACCATCTCATCTCTAAAGGGCTAGGAGAAACTGCTACCATTCTTACAAAGGAGGCAGATCTACCCATGACAGCAGCTTCTCATTCCTCTGCCTTCACCCCAGTTCCTGCCACTTCATCTCCTGTGTCTCTGCCTCGTACCCCTCGCATAGCAAATGGCATTGCGGCCCGGTTGACTAACCATCCTTCTGTTGCTTCTGGTGCTTCCTCTGTTCACCCTCAGCCAAGACCAGCTGGCTGCCAGGGCCCACTTGCACTGCCAGGCCCATCTCATGCCACCAACGCCCCAGTGATTGGCAGAATTAGCTTTATCCGTGAGAGACCATCTCCCTGCAATGGCAGAAAAATCAGAGTGCTTCGGCAAAAATCAGACCACGGCGCCTACAGTCAGAGCCCAGCTATCAAAAAACAGCTGGACAGACACCTTCCTTCCCCTCCCACCTTGGACAGTATAATCACAGAGTACCTTAGGGAGCAGCATGCGCGCTGCAAAAACCCTGTAGCTACTTGTCCCCCCTTTTCTCTTTTTACACCCCACCAGTGTCCTGAGCCAAAACAGAGGCGCCAAGCGCCAACTAACTTTACCTCGCGGCTGACCCGCAGGGCAGCCTTCCCAAAGTATGGCGGGGTAGATGGTGGATGCTTTGATAGACACCTTATATTTAGCAGGTAAGGAAGATGGTTCTTTATTCCTACGATTTTTTGGGCCATGCCATTTAGAAAGTGGATTTGGGTGCCATACCTTGGCTTGGACAAAACTGATTGCCTTGGGACCACAAGGAAGACTTTGCTATATCACCTCTATAGCATTTCTGAGCTATTGGCAAGACCCTTCTTCCCTTACAAAGAAAGCTGAAGCCGTGTCTTTTCTCCTAGCAGACTAAGATGCAGCTGCCCAACCTCAGTCGCGTTTGGCTGTTGCTCCTGTTTCTCCTTTTCCTTTCCTGAAAATTAATTTTCTTACTTAGTTGCTCTTTCATATCCCAGGTTCCGCCCAATTTCTGTGTTCCGGGAAGCAAATGAAGATGAAAGTGGCTTTACGTGTTGTGCATTTTCTGCACGGGAGCGATTCCTGATGTTGGGCACCTGCACAGGGCACCTAAAACTCTACAATGTCTTTAGCGGGCAGGAGGAGGCCAGCTACAAGTGCCATAACTCTGCTATCACGCATCTTGAACCATCCAGGGTAAGGAAAAGACTGAGAATATTCAGGTCAGGTACACTTTAATAATAGCATTCTCTCTTTCATAAGGATTGGGAGATTAGGCAAAACTCCAGGAATGAGAAAACATTACAAGTTGTGTTTAATAGCACAATAACCTGATTTTATTGACTTAGGTGGGATTTTTAGTCATTGCTTAAAATATAGGTAGTCCTTGACTTATGTTCACAATTGAACCTGGAATCTTGGTTACTAAGTGAAGGGATCATTAAGTAAGATGTCACATAACTGATTTCAGGTGTTAAGTGATTGTACAGGTTGCTTAGCAATCCCAAGTAGGGAGTGCAGAGTGTCTCGGGGGTGGGAAGGGAGAACCTGATTGAGACTGTTCAGGAGCTACAAATGCTCCCTGCTGAAATCCAAGCAGGATTTTCAGTTCCTGGGAGAGATACAAGCATGACATGCACCCGGCTTCTCAGGGCCTCTCCCACCTCCCCTCAGTGCTCCTTATCTTACTACACTGCATCTCGGCTCTCCACTTGGAATTCCTACTCATCTCTGGGGACTGGCTGGACGAGCTGCCTGCCAAAGAATGTCTTTCATATTGACTTTCTGGGGAAGCCGGCAGAGAAGACTGCAAATGGCAATCAGATGATTGTGGGCTGCATGGCAAGCAGTTATAAATGTGAACAACTGGCAAGCACCCAGATCATGATCATGTGACTAATGGGGGAGTGGAGTGTGATGTTTTATAATGCAACCTTTTTGAGGATGTAACTTTTGACAGTTGTTAAATGACCAGTCATAAATTGAGGATTACCTGTAACCTATCATAGATCACTCTATTCATTATGTTTTAAAACTTTTTTTCTGAACATTCAGAAGATTGAGGAAGAGATGAGCTTCCAAAACCAGTCTCTATTTTCTGATCTTTGGAGATGATTGGCTTATGCCTGAAATGGAATCGTTGTTCAGTACAGTTGATTTGTAATAACCTTCTGGTCAGACCAAGCCAATAGTATGTTAGTGGTTTTATCTTTGTATGATTGTGACCATGCTACCTTAAATTGGCAAGAGTATTATCTGCCTAGAAGAGTATTTTGTACATTGTGACAGAGGTAGAAATTCCCCTTTCTCTTAAAAGAAACCCCACATGCTGTCCACATGCCTAAAGAGTGTCTGCTTTGACTTCTCTTCCCAAACTGCAGGATGGTTCTTTATTGCTGACATCTGCTTCCTGGAGCCAGCCACTTTCTGCATTGTGGGGAATGAAATCTGTCTTTGAAACCAAGTATGTATGCTTTCTAGCAATCAGTGCTTCTCAACCTTGGCAGCTTTAAGATGTTGTTCTTCAGTTTTCACAATTCCCCGCCCAGCACACTAAGAATTGAAGTCCACAAAGTTGCCAAGGTTAAAAACATTACTCCTTTATGGTGATTTAATTGTCTTGAATGAGCAGGCCATTAATCGGGCAATATTTTAATATTTGAAACTTTCTGGTTTTAAATACTGTATAATATTCAGGCTCTTTAAAGTAGCCAAGATGTGTGATACTTTTTTCTATTAGTTCCTGACAGTTATTGCGTATTGTGTATACAAAGAACCATGTGGCACAGTGGTTAGAATGCAGTATTGCAGGCAGACTCTGCCCACAGCCAGGAGTTTGATGCTGTCTGGCTCAAGGTTAACTCATCCTTCTGATCCAGATTGTTGAGGACAATATACTGACACAGTACATAGTACTGTAAAACACGAGGTGAAAGTCTTATTGCTATTGCAGATGTATTCACATATACTAGATAAAAGCACATTTTTTTGAGTGAAAGCTTCGTTCTTTGTAGTTGGCTGATGATGTACTTTTTCCTCGCAGGCATTCCTTCACGGATGACCATTATGTTGAGTTCAGTAAGCATTCTCAAGATAGGGTCATTGGCACCAAGGGGGACATTGCCCATGTAAGTATTGGTTGTTGAATCTCAGAAGAAATACAGGGTTACTTACAAGCCACAGCCATTATATACAGCACTTGAAAATGCAGAGAGCGAGGTTATTCCTAAAAATATGTTTCATGGCTTGAAACCATTAAAGTGAGATTGGTGGTATATAAATTTAATAAATAAATACTACTAAAAATCTGTAATCACTGCCATATATTTTTTAACAAATAGAAAAGTGGTGCTAAATGACAAATATATTGATTAAGTGCACCGGCATTACTTGAGAGAATTAGAAGTAAGTTCAGAAGTGATCTAAAGTTCAGATATGTTTTGTGGGATTAGATTAGATATTCTTTAATATCAAAATGTGCAATATATTCTTCAAGACACAATCCTACCTTTGAACATCTGTAATTATAGCCCTAATACTTCATGAGAAAGACTGTTTTCTGGAACATATGCCAGAATTCATATTTATTCCTTAAAAAGCAAACTGGTTATACATCAGCAAATGTTTCCTAGTTGTAAAATTAAATACGTTGGAAGCTTTCAAGACAGAAACTGTAGAATCTGCCTTTTTTTTTTAAATGATAGCAATTTATTTACCTTAGGAAAAATAAAGATGAATATTGAATCCAGAATTCTGTGGGGAAAATTCTACTCAAGGGATACTCTGAATAGAGGAAAGATGGCAGGATTTGAGTGGAAGATGATAGCTGTAAATTTTGCCAATTTTCTTTCTCTTAAAAGGAGGAGGTGACATAGTTGCACTGCAAGAGAAAAGGAAGAGTTAGTGAAAGCCATGGTACCATTGCTGCAGTTGTGTTGCGCTGCTAGCTGTCAAACAACTGGCAAGCTAGGCATTGTGGCTAGCATTGCTTTCAATTTTCTCACAACATTCCAGAAGATATAACAATTGTTTCTTATGACCTGATACAAGTCACCTCTAGCCCATTTAGCCCATGCTGTGTGTATCTATTAAAATCTCGGCACTTTTCCTTCTGCTTTTTGTTCTTATTCCTGCATTTTTATCTTTAAGCAAGACGTTTTTCTGTTGATTTACTATTCTTTCTGTTAGCCTTCAACTATAATCTGATCTGGGTTCATACTATGGTCATTTGTGACAAGCTAAAATGTTAATTCTGAACTTCAGCAAAGTGCAAGTGGCAGTTAAGAATCCGGGATGTAATCTATTCTGACAAAAAAGGTAAAAGTAATAAAGCCAGATGCTCAGAATATAAAAGAATAGATTACTTTACGAAAACAATTTTAAAAGAAGGGAATAAGATGTTAAATGTTATTGAGTATTAATGACGGAATGTTATCATCTTCCTTTTTGTTTTGTGAATCTTTTTCACCACATACTACATTGGGCATTATTATGTAACTCACTGCCTCTAATATCAGCTAGAATACTTTTATATTGCAAGCCACACATTCAAATATCAAAGTATAGTTTTCAGCCCAGCAGTTTTGTTTCGTGTCATAGAATATTCTATGGCCAGGATGGCAAACCTATGGCATGCATGCCACAGGTGGCACGCGGAGCCATTTGTCAGGGCACGCAAGGCGTTCCCCTGTCAGCTGGCCAGAGTGCATGTGCGCGCTGGTCAGCTGAGTTCAGCCTTTTTTAAAGCCATTTTTCACCCTCCCTAGGCTCCAGAGGCTTTTTAGGAGCCTGGGGAGGGCAAAAACAGCCCCCCCCCCCCCCCGAGGCCCTCCAGAGGCTTCAGGAGCTTCCCTGAAGTCTCTGGAGTGCAAAAAAATGGCCCAGAGCCTTCAGGGAAGCCTCTGGAAGGCCCCTGAAGGCTCTGGAGGGCTTAAACCGGCCCTACAAGCAAACTAGAAGTCTGTTCCTGAAATTCCAGTTTGCCCGTAGGGCCAGTTTTCTGCACTCCGGAGTCTTCAGGGAATCTCCTAGGGCCTCCGGGAGGGGAGAGGCTGCTTTTACGCTCCCCAGGCTCCTACGAAGCCTCTGGAGCCTGGGGAGGGTGAAAAAAGCATGCAAAAATAGACACGTTTGGCATGCGCGCATGCGCATTGGGGGGGTCGTGCATTGCATTATGGGTGCAGCACACCCGCACACAACCCGCCTGCATTCCCCCCGCTTATGGCACGCGAGCCAAAAAAGATTTGCCATCGATGTTCTAGGGCATAGGAATGAATCGATGAGAAGTGAGCAACAGCCATGCTTTCTCCCTGGGTTATTAGATGACAAAGTTCTGTTCGAGGCCAACTTTTCCCTTAATCATTTGGAGACAGAGGCCGAAGAATTTGTGAGGGTTGCATGTGACACCAAGTGGTCTGAGGTAAACTCTAAAAGACAGAAATAAAATTTAAAATTAATACGATTGTTGGATCATTCATTCTTCATATCGACAACTTTTAAGATATATGGGTTTCAACTCTCAGAGTTCTCCAGCAAGCATGAGGAAAACAAGGTAGATGAGAATCCATAAAATGTGAGTGATTTGGAAACGGTTGCATGTGCTTTTTTGGACAAAATATTTGACATGTGTTGACTAAGTTATTTTCTTTTTTCCTTTTTCATCTAAAAGATCTATGATATTCAGACTGGCAACAAGCTCTTGACTTTGTTTAACCCAGATCTTGCAAACAACTACAAGAAGAATTCTGCCACCTTTAACCCCACAGATGACCTTGTCTTAAACGATGGTGTCCTCTGGGATGTTCGCTCTGCACAGGCTATTCATAAATTTGATAAATTCAATATGACCATCAGTGGCGTTTTCCACCCGAATGGATTGGAGGTCATAGTGAACACAGAAATTGTATCCTTTTTTAACCTTAACTTCAGTGTCTGTTGGAATAGTAGAGGTTGGTAGGAAGAGCTTACTTAATTGTTTATTTAATTTCAAGGTTTATAATAAGTTCATACAACTTAAATTGTGTGACTCTCGGCAGCACATAAGATAAACCCAATCCTCTTTCATGTGAGAACTCAAAACGAAAATCCTTAATTGTGGAAATAACAGCAGGTTGTAAACTTTTTGGTCTTGCTTATTGTCAAGTCAATTGAAGTTGTCTGCTCAAAGTGACTAAGACAATACATTTTTCAGCAGAAGGTATAAACAGTACTACTCTGTAGTACAGAAATGAACATACTGCAGCCAGGTTTCTAGGAACCACTTTTTAATGGGATGGGTATCTATACACATTTGGTTAATAAAGCAAGAAAATTGGGGGAAAGATAAGAAAAGCACGATGGAAGAAGAGATGGAAGCCATTTAGAAAACAGCAAAAACAAGAAAGCCCAGCACAGTAATGAATCCAGATTTCTGGAAAGGGCAAACTCTTTTTATCCTGATAGTCTTGTGTATGGCTGAAGAGAAGAAAAAAGGATTGGTAGAAAAACAGTAGATTTATAAAATATCCTTTTTGGGTTTCCTTTGACTAAAATATTTTTCAGTTCAAATATAGTTGAACCGTAACTTTTTGTAGAATAATTATTATATCAGTGGTTGTATTTTCAGTATACTTTTAAGATTCTCTAGCATAACATTTGCCTTTATTACAAAAGTGAGAGCAACTATGACTCTCCTAACTTTAGAGTCTGGTGATCCATGGTAGATCCATCCCACCATAAAGACATCTGTGAAATTCTGTACATGAAGAATTAATGCAAGGTCAATTCAAAACTTTTAAGTGATTTTGCAAGCTGAAATGAAATTTGGTGGGTAGATTCAAAAGTATTATTCTGTGATATATGATTCAAACATATATGTATCATGCAAATTGAGGAAATAATCCATTAGATTATTCAGATACGTTACTATAATTGTTAGAGAAATTCTGTCTCATGGCTGGGCAGATGATGGCGAGTGTGAGGCTGTCATTGGAGCTGGAGAGCGAGATCCTTTACTAATGTCCCTTATTTATAGTGCAGAATCTTCCTTAATGATCTCTCCAGTGGGACTTGCGGACTTTCCACTTGTTACACACAGTGCCTGCTTTGGATCAATGCCGTGTTGTTTTCAACCATACTGGGACAGTTATGTATGGAGGTAATGACTGGTTTTCATTATGTGATGGCATCAGGAGAGCTATAGATTTTGTTTCATCATACTTTCTAGCAGTCACCAAAACAGCACAGTGGGTGTTGCCAAGATTTGCCAAGTGAAAACACTTTTAAAAGGTCTTGAGTTGGCAGTAGACTTCAGAAGGGGCTGAGGTTCAGTCTTAGCTGAATCTCTGGCATTTTCACATAGGATTGGGAAAGGCTGTAATCTGAAAAGTTGGAAGGCAATTGTCAGTCAGGGCCAGCACTTCTGAGTTAAGGGAGAAGAATTCTGATTCATGAAAGCAATTTTCTATGTTCCTGTATATATATTAACATAAACAGTACCCTGCTGATTGGACTCCTGGATTATTTTGGCCAGCAATCTGTTCTTACAATGGCCAACCATCTGCCTAAGGATGGCTTCTATGGACTTCTCTGGAAACTCGCTTAACATTTTCCCTTACTTTTTTTTAATGGTGCCTTTTTCTCCTTGTTTAGCTTTGTTGCTCCATTTGGTATTCTTTGAATCTTAAACAAAATGAATCATAACTAACTAAAATGGAATTTAAATTTCTAACCTAAAGTGTAGTACAGTTGTATGGCTCTATATTTTCTGATTTTTTGATAGTAATCTTATTCAATTATAGGAGCAAATATGTATTTAAAAACAAAAAGATTCATTTAAACTCCTAAATTCTTGTGTCATATGCTTCCTCTCCTTATATTCCCTAAAAATATTTTCTTTCTTGATCAGCTATGCTACAAGCCGATGATGAAGATGATTTGCTGGAAGAGAGAATGCGAAGTCCTTTTGGATCATCCTTCAGGACATTCAATGCAACAGATTACAAACCAATTGGTAAAGATTATAATTGTTCCTATTGAAATAAACCAAATGAAATTATGATTTCAGCTGCTCTGCTAGGAAACATTTATTATCCATTTACTATCATCATCTTTCCAGAATGTAAATTTGGTTAAACATCAAAAATGATTTTTTTCTGTAAAAGTAAAGAATGAAAATATAGGGGGAACAAAATGCCAAATACATAAAAAAATCTCAAAATTTGTTCAGAGTGGAGTACTTCAGTAAAGTATATTATGTTTGGCAAATTTCCAAGGCCAAATATTCAAAAAATTATAACAAGCGGAAGGAAAATCTCTCTCTTTCCTTTCCTACTACATGGGGGAAATGAAAACACTACCTTTTTATTGATGAAGTATACTACTTCAGTTCAGAATCTGTTCAAAATTTGTTAGTAGAGGAATCAAAAGATTACTAAACAAATAGTATGAGAAAATCTCCCTCCCACATGCTGTTGAAATAAAAGGAGGAGGAATGAGACAATTGTATATTTATTAGAGACTGACTTTCAAGCTGCATGTGATTCCTCTAGCCTCCATTTTGCTATTTCAGAGTACTTCTAAATCATGCTGATTAAATGCATTACTATGGGTTATTTTTTT